ACACAAACAGATTAGCTCCCAATCCCTCTCTCGCTCGCCACTTCGCAGCACTATCTGGGTGTCGCACGCCCCTGCCAGATGAGCCAGGGGCCAGGCTTACTGCAGCCTCCCCCCCCTCCCCTCCCTCCCTCCGTCGCCCCTCCCTCCCCCTCACCGAGGCCTGGCCACCCCGTGTCACAGCCACCCCTAATACAATTAAAAGTCATTTGCAGAACGCACAGGCTTAGAGGATGGGGGGTGGGGGGGGTGGCGTGTATGTGTGTGTGTGTGTGTGTGTGTGTGTGTGTGTGTGTGGGGGGGGGTGTATTGGGGGGGTCTTTCTGCACATACATACATACAGAAAGATTAAGAGGGAGAGAGAGAGAGAGAGAGAGAGAGAGAGAGAGGACACACACAGACCAAGGGAAGATGAAATTGTGTGTGTGCATGTGTGTGTGCGTGTGTGCGTGTGTGTGTGTGCATACGCGCATGTGTGTGTGTGTGTATGCTTTCAGGCCCTGTGAATAGATCAGGTGTGCCGTCATGTCAGAGATAGACTTGTAGCGCTGTAGTACAGTAGTATTGTAGTTTTCAGGTGTGCTGTCATGTTAGAGAGTTGTAGCGTTGTAGTACAGTAGTATTGCAGTGTTCAGATGTGCAGGGCGGAGGTGATTGGCTGAAAGCGGGGCGGCAGACTCACCGATGCCCCGGGGATGTGACCAGGCCACCAGGCCACCGCTGGCTCCCGCATCCCCCCCTCAAAGGTCGTCTCCTTCCCACACAGGAAGGGCCCGTTGCTGCCACCTGGGGACACACACATAGAGACAGACACACACACACACACACATATAGACATACATACACAGGTAGACAGGCAGTCACACACAAACACACACACACACAAACACACATAGAGACACACACACACAAAATACATAACACACACACAAATTCAATATGCATACACACATATACAGACAATGGGTGTGTGCGTATGTGAGATGGCAGCTGTGCGCGGAGCTCTTACTTTCGTTGGGGCCCGACATCACAGCTGCTCCATTGTCTGAAGTGAAGAAGACAAAGGTGTTCTGTTCGATGCTCAGAGCAGACAACCATGAAAGGATCTGACCAACACTATCATCTAGCTCCATGACGGCATCACCATACCTGCAACACACACACACACACACACACACACACACACACACAGCATTTACACGCACACAGGCACACATGCACACACGCGCAGAAACACACACCCGAACACACACACACACACAGAGGGGGGTCATGAAGTTACCCCTAGCAACCCCCCCACCTCCCCTATCCCCCCCCCCCCCCCCATTTTGTTTTTCAAATAAAATCTTTTATGCACCAATTGAATGTTTTGTACGTCCTGGCAATTAAATTGTACTTAGCATCATATAGCATCTTACCCAAGCTATCCATGCTGTATACCAGAAAGAACAGCTACACCTAGCAATCATGGTGCACTTAGAAACTTGTTCTGTTGACATCCTTGCTGTACCGACAGTGATATATTGTTGTTTTCCTTTCTACTGACAAATGTACTTAATGTAAGTTGCTTTGGACAAAAGTGTCTGCTAAATGCCCTAAATGTAAAAATGTAAAAGTAAATGAAGGTTGACATAGGGGGCGGATTTTACCGGCCTCGTTGGCTCCGCCCCAGGAAGGGTTTGGAGGCGTAGACGGGCGAGTGGGTGGAGTCAGGGGCCCAGTACAGGAAGAAGGGCTGGCCGCTGAGAGACTGGCGATGGATAAAACCCAGAGCTTCCTGTAGCGAATAATCAACCAATCAAATCAACTGACCATCAACCAATCACAGACAGATAGACTGGGAGACAGGCAGAGAGAGATAGACAAGCAGGGATGGAGACAGACAGACAGATAGATACCTGTAGGTAGATCTGCGTGAGGTTTGACTCTCCTGTCTTCTTGTTAATTTGAAACTCTTCATAATATCTGGAAAATAAAGAAGTTGCCAATGTGTAACAAGTAACCCAACAGTAAATCAATCCTTCTCTCAGAGAACAAGCGGACATACATTTGTTAGAAAGGTTAGATGAAACTCCAAATAATCTGATATCTAATCCAGAGGGTAAAACTAATGAGAGTGTGTGAGCTCCTACCTGCCGACCATCTCAGAGTTGTGGTAGACGGGGATGTTGGGTCTCTTGCTGCTCTTGTAGGGGCCAAAGTGGCAGTTTGGGGCCCCGAACCACTCGTCAAAGCCGTGCTCCAGGGGCAGGTACTGGGGCCTGTGGCCGAGATGCCTGCACCAAGACATTCATTACTAACAACCAAGGCCATCACTGCCTACATTTATATGTCATACCCACATTGTAATAAACTCAAAGACAGTACAGACTGTACATCATATCTCAAATACAGTTACAGCTCCAGCTAGTTAAGACCTTATCCTGAATCCTCACCACTTGCCGACTATCTTGCTGACGTAGCCTTTCTTCTTCAGGAGGCGGGGCAGAAGGATCTCATCACTGGAGATCCCGCCCACTATCTCCTGGGGAGTGTAGGCTGCAGAGGTCAAAGGTTGGCTTTTGAACAACTTACAGGACATGAGCTCAAAATGAAAATCTGAGTCAGGTATACACACATACATTACATACATATACTGTTTATATATCTAACAATATCAAACCATTTCGTGCATGGCCGTTCGTGGTGTAGAATCCATTTCTGACTGGCAGTCTTCCTGTCAGTAGTGCGGCTCTCGCTGTAATTAAAAAGGAAATCCTCCTCTGTATTCCAGTTTGGACCACCTGGTATAGGCTACTGTACTTCTCAAGATGTATTTAAAAAGACAAAGAATATAGTGAATAGGGCTGCAACTAACCATTAATTTAATAGTCGATTAATCTAACAACATTTTTTTAATTAAAAAACACCTGTGCATGAAATAGGTTGCACAGTTTGGAGTTTCACATCATTGCCTATATGTGATGTACATTACACACACACACACACACACACACACACACACACACACACACACAAGACTCACAGGGGGAACAGAGTGGGTTGGCTGTGTAGAAGTTGGGGAGGAGCATTCCCTGGGCTGCCATCCTATCCAGGTTCGGGGTCTCTTTGGAGGGTTGGCCAAACACCCCTAGATCCCCCCAGCCCATCTGCACAGCCCAGGAACATGAATTATAACATGGCTTTGATGAAAACAATGGGCGTTTACACACATGTTGTGTTGTGAAGTGTCTGAGAGAGAGAGGATAGCTCAACATATAAAATGCATGGACTCAGTGAGCGAATCTGTTTCCCTCTAACATCGCGAGGTCTGCAGTCGAATCTCCAACCAAGATTTTAGAAAAATGAAATTGGACAATAAATAATTTGCATGCTGCAAATAATCATTTAACGCACGTTTTAATGCTGTGCTGTGTAACATTACAAATATAACAAAAGGTTTCATCTTAAAACACTGGATTAAAAATGTATAAAATACAAGACGTTTCAGTGTTCATCCAAACACCTTCATCAGTTGTTAAGTGTGCACAGGAAGTAACTCTGGCTTTAATACACAAGGCAGTCACATGATCTCATGGCATGAAGTGCACACTTAACTGATGAAGGTGTTTAGATGAACACTGAAACGTCTTGTATTTTATACATTTTTAATCCAGTGTTTTAAGATTAAACCTTTTGTTGAAACTACAATTACCTGGATGCATAAATGAAACTCCATAGACATTACAAATACAAATAAACTACCATATCTGAGAAATATAATATGTAATCACAGCATAATATTAGGCTATATATTTGATATTACATACATATGTTATTACATATTATGTATTATTATTATTAGCTATTATTACTATGTCACTTCAGAAATGTATGTAACCATATGTTTCCTATGGGAGTAAAGAGACAGTGAGAGAGAAGGGAAGAGAGCCAGAGATCCAGAAAGAGAAAGAGAGAGACAGAGACAGGTAGAAAGAGAGAGACAGAGACAGGTAGAAAGAGAGAGACAGAGACAGAGATCCAGAAAGAGGAAGAGAGAGACAGAGACAGAGACAGAGACAGATAGAAAGAGAGAGACAGAGATCCAGAAAGAGGAAGAACGACAGAGACAGAGATCCAGAAAGAGGAAGAGAGAGACAGAGACAGAGAGACAGGTAGAAAGAGAGACACAGAGACAGAGAGACAGAGACAGAGAGAGACAGGTAGAAAGAGAGGGACAGAGAGAGAGAGAGAGAGACAGAGACAGAGAGACTGCATCATTGTGTTGCTCTGACTGTAAACAAGGCAGTCCCAACCCCAACACACAGGGGAACCAGCTGCACCCCCCCCCCCCCCCCCCCCCCTCACAACAGCCACTCACGTCATCCATGAGCATGATGATAATGTTTGGAGACGAGGCGTTTGCGGGGGTCGCTGACACACGTCCACATGTTAGGAAAGAAAGTACAGTGAAACTTTGAATTAACGTGTGCATTGCAGTGCAGCAGTCATATGACCGCTAGGGGAATCCAGGAAGTGGTTGGGTCTGCTCGGTTTGGGTTTCGCGGAAGCACTTCGGCGCAACACTTGCGCATACCAAGTGAAAGCTTTGTTAATATAATTGTACGATTTTTTTTAAAATAGTAATAACCATGTTGTCATTAAGAAGAGTAAAAAGAAAAATAACAGCATTAAATGTCAATCGTTTCACGTGTGTTTTTTCCTTGTCGACGTCAAGACACGCGGTCACGTGACCGCGTCTGACAGACAGGAAGACAACATGGCGGTGTGCATAGCAGTGATCGCGAAGGAGGTAACGTTAACCCGCAATAACGTCTTTCATTTCGATACTTGCACCATTTCAAAGCGGCGGTATATCTGTCTTGAATCGTCAGCTTTCTAGCCTATTAATAATGTGAATTAGCGTAACAGATCCAAAGAGGTTCAAGGTAATACAATGCGATGAAGCTTGTGTTGCTCAATAATAATAATAATAATAATAATAATAATAATGTGCCATTGGGTGGGCGCCGTAATCCAACAGTAGGGAATCAAACCCCTAACCCTGACAGTGTTAATGCCATGCTCCACCAGTTGAGCTAGACAGAACCACAAGCTTCAAGCATATGTCAGCATTTCTAATGAGGTCTGTTCAGTGTCAGCCAATGTTGGTTTTCTAAACTGGGTTTCCCAACCTTGTTTGTGTGATGAACCCCCACAGCCCCACCAGTAGGGTCCAGTACCCCTTGAGCCAAGCCAGAAACATTTTCCCAATGTTAAATTATTATCATTTGGCATCATGGTTAATATTCCAGTGGCCTGGGTGTTTAAAATGGATGAAGCTGAGGGTCCGTCTATTTATTTATTGATCAGCAACATTTCAACACATTTTATGTAGTAATACAATTAAAAGTAAAAGTAATTAATTAAGTACCCACTGGAACCTGCGCACGGACCCCCAGTTTGGCATCGCTGTTCTGTTTAAAGGTAGATCAGCCTACCAGTTGTTACAGTCCACTGGGTACGCTGGTAGGCTGATCTAGCCATCACACAACACTCCCACTAGTTGAGGTCACTAGAGGGTAGATTTTGACTGGCTTGTAATGGCTAATCAACATCACACCTGGTGATAAATAAGGGCCCTTTAACGTTGTTGGCCGTCATCCTCAGAACTACCCGCTGTACATCCGGAGCGTCCCGATGCAGAACGAGCTGAAGTTCCACTACACGGTCCACACGTCTCTGGACGTGGTGGAGGAGAAGATCTCGGCTGCCGGCAAGGCCATGGCTGACCAGAGAGAGCTGTACCTCGGGCTCCTCTACCCCACCGAGGACTACAAAGTGTATCCTTTATGTCTCACTCACCTGGTGGTTACAGTAGTTAAGGTGCTTATTTAGTAATTTGCCTCAATGTTGCTCTCACAAATCAACAACATACTGAAAGTGAAACACCCAGATCTAAGCTCGTCTGCCATCAGACTTTAGATATTCATCTAAAGTCTGATGGCAGACGAGCTTAGATCTGGGTGTTTCACTTTCACTTCACCAGGCTCTGTGCGTCTTCCCCCAGAAGGTCTGCTGTAACTGCTGGATCCCAGATTACCTCAATGTCAAGCCTACCTGTAGGCCTCCTTGACCAAGATGCCCTAACATGCTCATGAATTCATGTATCTGAATTCACTGTAAGTCTCTTTGGATAAAAGTGTTGACTATATGCATCATTATGCATCATGCTCAAAGATGTCTACATATAGGGTGATCGAACCCAGTATCTTTCGGCTGGTAGCTGAACACTCACCTCGACACTATGGGGGCGACTTGCATGTGACATAACTAAATCATTGTCTTAACACTGATCAGATACGGCTATGTGACCAACTCCAAGGTGAAGTTTGTCATTGTTGTCGACTCCTCCAATACATCGTTACGTGACAATGAGATCCGAAGTGTAAGCCATCTCTCCTCTCCCCGTCAGCTAAAATCAGACCGTGTCTCAGCATTTACGCTTTTTCCATGATCTTTAACATGAGTACCTGTATGTTATTCTGGTGTTGATATTCATCCATCCCTCAATCAGTACCCTACATGTATGTCATCTAAATAAAACTACACATTGGACTTTTAATTATTTTGCCCTCATAAAAACATGCTGTGAACTTTGTTCTTTAAAAAAAAGGAGCCGAGCTCTACACACAGCCATGAAGACTTATAAATAAAGACTTTTGCTTCATTGTTCCCAGAGCCCATTGGGTCCAAATGCTCAAAAATATTTTAATACAAATTTTCACAGAAATGCACACTTCTGTAACAAACTCCCAAGACATTTTACAAAGCAATGTTGGAGCAGTCAGATTCTAAGCTGTCGGGGATATTTCTGTATTTCCAGATGTTCAGGAAACTACACAACTCCTTCACAGATGTGATGTGCAACCCTTTCTACAACCCTGGAGACCCCGTCCAGTCCAAGTACGTTCTATAGAACTGTATAACTCTGACTAGCAAAAGCACTAAATGCCAATTCTTTTAGTTTAAGCTGTATTCTAAACAAATTCGATTTAGATTTTCGAAAAGTGACCACTGGGTACATTTGTCGTCTGCTTAAGTTTGGTAATTGCCTCATCTGATCTTCTCTCCAGGGCGTTTGACAGCATGGTGTCGGGCATGATGGTACAAGCCAGCTGAAGCCTCCCCACCCGTCCAACCTCTACTGTACATAATGTCCCCTCATTAGGATTTACATATTGTCCATGTGAAAATGTATGTTAAATAAACAAAGCCGTTATACACAAATGTGTGGATCTGTCAAGTGTTACGCAACAAGGGTCAAGATAATCATTTCTTTTATTTATTATTTTCACTTACGCAAAGTAATCTGGTAAATTATATACACGACGACATGGGAAAATTCTATACAATATAAATTACAACACGGTCAACAATACATCCGCATCAAACGTAAAAAGACACAAAATGGCGCACGCCGTGAGGGATTGTCACATGCGCTTGTGGTCGCAGCCATTGACATGCTTGTAACTCAAAACCTCTGCAGAGGACGTCCCGACTGACATGGCAGAGCCAGGCACTCGCTAGATGCTTGCATCATGCATAGTGCCGAGAGTAAAACACAAAGCTGCAGGTTAAACACTAAGGAACAGATTGGTCCGTTCCGTAGACTGGCCACCAGACGGACCCCCACACCCCAGGGTTCCCGTCCTCGAACCTACGGCGCAGGACATAAAAAAGGTCAACGAGACCCCCGGCATTTGTATCGTTGGGGGAGGCGGGTGGGGGTCATGAAGACATGTCCAGTAGGTGGGGCGGCAAAGACTTATTAACCCCCACACACACACACACTTCATCTGTGCAATCCTCCCTCCATGACGCCAGACCTCCTGTAACCCAGCCGCCACTGGAATGAAGACAGTCCATATAAAACAAAAACAAACAAAAAAAAAAAAAAAAGTCACAAGTTTTTAAATCCTCCACATCGCTCCACAGTGGCCCCAGGCTAGCGCTAATGCTAACGCCAGCACTAATGCTAATGCTAACGCTAATGCTAGCGCTGCTGGGGGTAGTGGTGGCCGCTGGGCCCCGGGCCGCCCTCCTCCGACGGCGGGGTGATGAGGAGGAGGCACGGGTAGCGTTTGGAGGTTTGTTCACGGTACTCTGGGGGCCCCCACTGCCGCTTCCCCGCGGGGGGCCCTCCGTAGTACGGGTGGGGCACCGGGTGGGGGGGCCGGGCCGACTGGTAGCGGAAGCGGCCCTGGAAGCCGTTGTGGTAACGCGGGGTGCGGGGCCCGCGCCCTCGGGAGCGACCGCCGCCGCGGGGCCCGCCGCGGTCCGTGGTGCTGATGCCCGGCATGTTAGTCCGCTTGGGCATCACCTGCGGACCAGACGGCACCAAACATCACCAAACACACACCCCCCAACTGCTTACTGTAGCATGATGGTAGAGGCTAACGAATGAGCTACTAACGTTGCTGTTCAAACTAGGAAACTTTTACTGCAGCCATGTCATTAAAATTAATTATGATTATGTGGCTGCAGTGAAAAAAAAAAAGAAAACGCTGCATTTTTCAAATTAAAGGATATTGCTTAATTGCGTGTGACATCGAATACACTTAAAAAAACGCAGGAAAACCAGGCAACTTTTTAGAAAGTACACCAGTGATCTTATTAGCCGTTTACTAATCGCTGTACGAAACTGCTCCAAATGGCACGTAGGGTCAGACGTTGCCCTCTTACAGTTTCAAAAACGGCATTGGGACAAACTGTTAACAGGCCGGTGATATCAAAACATCATCCACAGTGAACGCCACCCACCTTCAGCACCCTCCCTCGGAACAGAGTCTCGTCCAGACCGATGGCACTCTGGACCGAGTCTCTGTCGGAGAACTCGATGTAGGCGAAGCTGTGGCGGGGGGACGACAGCACACAAGGAAACGCTTTCACAGACGTAGGGTTTAATATGAATGTTTAACGTGCGAACGCCCGAACTGCGGCCTCGTCTCCTCGACCTCACTGAGGTCGAGGAGACGAGGCCGCAGTTCGGGAAGAGACACCTTTATCGGCACGACAAATATAGAGGGGTTCAGAGGGAGCGCCTCTACCCTAGTGCCATACGGTTCCTGAATGAGGGCCTAAAAGGACTATGTGCCCCCCCCCCCCCCCCCCAGCATGCCCTCAATAGACTCTCATAACAGACCATCACTAACTCTCGGTGGAATACTGCACACTGTCACTTTAACCATATGCTGCTACATACGGCACTGTACATACACTACTGTGTTTAGCAAAGCATCATCTGCCCATATATATAAAGCTAAATATACCATGATTTAATTTTAATTCCAATTTTACTTTGCTCCATTGTGTGTACACAGGCGCACGCAAAGTAAGCACTTCACCGCTAGCTGTACATGCATGACTTTGTATGTCACAAATAAAACTTGGAACGGCACTCGTAATACCAAACTGGTGCGGAAGGCAGTGATAAAAGTCAGCTGTGAGGGTATACGAGTCGGATGGGTGAGGTTAGGGTGGTGGAGGGTAGGGGAAGGTATGGGCGGGGGGGCGGGGGGGGAGAGGGTGGACCCACCCCTTCGGGTGTCCAGAGAAGCGGTCACACAGTATGGTGACCCTGTTGACGGGCCCACAGCCGTTGAAGTGGATCTCCAGCTCGTCTGCGGTGGCGCCGTAGTCAACCTGGGAAACCGTTTTTTTTTTAAATAAATAAATATGAAGCTACACATGGCGGTCCACGCTGCGGTTCTGCAGCTACACAGTCTCGAGCAGGTCTTACGTTTCCTACGTAGACGGATCGGTTGTCCGCGTCTATCCTCTCCTCGTGGGTCATGTTGTAGAAGAGCCCTGACCGTGGGAAACCACACATATGTTTAGCACACGCACACACACACATGAACATCCTTGCCCTTTCTGACTACACAAAATGGTGCCAAAAAACTACACTGGCCTTCAATAGACATTTCTTTCTGAGGAAGCACAAGGAGACAAACGGTGGAAGGTGGAAAATAGGTAGGCCTAAGGGGGGGACGTGGGAGGTAGGAGTGAGGCATTTCCCCCCCCCCCCCCCCCCCATGTTTCCACGTTG